TAATTTTTTCACTCTGCTATTGTTTATCACTAGACAACTTATCGTATTCAATTCGATAAATTGGTAGATAGAAAGTGCAAGATCAGTATCGCTTTTAATTACACGATAAGGCTGATGTTGAGGTCCTATCATGACATTCTTTAGGTTACAGAGGAAAGTTTCACTAAAGATAGATAATGAATCAAACATTCGGTTGATCGATGACAAAGCGACAACGATTCAGTGACTTGGTTTCGAAAAAAAGGATTGGTTGTAAAAGATCTCGACACAGAAAAGAAACGTACTGAAGAAAATAGAAAAAACTTAGTGCTAGTAGTACTCCGAAGAATTATTCCACAAATATATACTCGGCTCAGATAAAGCATATCTTTATTAAATAGTTATCACAACAAAATATGATGATATATCAAATATAGTTCAATTGACATATCATGTCAAATATGATTGTTCCATTATTCAATCCATTTTAAACTTGATAAAATCGAATCAAAGTTCACCAATTCCATTCTCTACTGAGAATGTTAATGATATTATAAAAAGTTATTGTATGAATAATCATTTTCTTAGATTAGCATCACCGCATACTATACAGCCTTTCACGTTGTTTTGTATGGCTTGTCAAAAGTCATTAAAATTAAATTTTAAGGAAAAGGTTAATGTTTTTTGATAGATCGTGTTGAGGGTGGAGTCACGTTTTTCGGTCGCTATTGACAAATTGAATATTACACAAATAGTTACATTAAAGGCTCAAAACAATCTGCTATACAAAATTCCTTATACAATCAAAAATACATTACTTTTGGTGGTAAATGTGTTCTTTATATCGATGTTTTATTACGATACGCATCTGATTTAATCAACATGGTAAGTTGAAAAAAATCTAACACAACTACAATATTTGAGTGGACACATCTTCTTACAAATTTATTCGAGCCTGCATGCTTTTTAAAATATGTTTTCATAAAATTTTATTTTAGTATTCAGGATTTGAAAACTTTTCCGAAGCTTACAATGATGAAATTGAATCATTTTTATTACAGCACTCCGACGAAAATGATTCACAAGTAAAGAATCGAGCAATGCTGGAACGTCGATTATGTGAAAACATATGGTTAATCTATTCAACTTCTTTGTTAAAATTGGTTTTGTCCACCGTTCAAGAAATAGAAATTCCATTGAATATTAGCGATCGTGTTCAACGAAATAGTTTTTTTATTAGTCAATTAAATTGTCTAGAACATGATTTTACTTCGTTCTGGTCGAGTCATTCGTCCAACTTTAGTTGTGGTAGTCAATGTTGTAAAGCTCTTGTAATAGATGACTTTTAAAAGCCAGATCGATTTGTTTGCCACTATGCACAAGAATTGACTCATTCAGAGAAATTAGGTAAAAGTTTGACGTAATATTCAAGGGCTAAGTCCTTCTAAATGTTTTAGGTGACATTGAATGGGGCTGTGGCATTCGTCCAGAAATAATTAAAGACAAAATTCATCCAGGGTACTGGATTAATACGAAATATTGTCCTGAACCTATTCATCTTGAAAATATTCAGTCAACAGAAACTTCTATTGATAAAGACGATTATGATTCCATTGATTGCAACGTCTCAAGGTTTGATGTAATCTTATATATATATGTGTATATATAAATACATTTTTATTTATTCTTTTTTTTCACCTCAACCCAGGTCGTGGACGTATGGCGGGAAACGGCGGGAAAGCACAGGAAAGCGCTGGAAACTGGAAGCAGTATTCCAGTTGGAAGTTACCGGATTTTTTTCCTGTAGATTCCGATCAACTTCCAGATGTAAAACACAGAAAANGTAACTTCCAACTGGAATACTGCTTCCAGTTTCCAGTGCTTTCCCGTGCTTTCCGGCCAGATACGGTGATTTTTCCGCATCTTTCCGGCCGATTCCTACAGTATCCGTCCTCCGGAATCATTGACCTGGGAATAGAACCGATCGATATTGTAACCGTAACACATCCTACGGAATCATATTAACTATGTTCAATTGTAGAATAATTTTAAACTTTGACGAAATGTATAGATGCGAATCTCCAACACGTGTACTTCATCATCTAGTTATTTACCACAATGAATCGTCTTTCATCACCATCGTGAGTAAACGTTCTGTGCACTGAACCATGCAAAAAAGTATTCATTCTTTTCTTTTACAGACGGTTACCAAAATATTTAATTTATGGCAACGCCTGTGGACTGTTACTTACATTTCAAAAGCGCTTTCAAAATGGACAAATTCGAAATACTAACAAAACGGCAGCCTTGTATGTGAATTTTACGATCTATTGAATATGTGATAGCTTTGACTTTATAGAGAAACAATGACATTCCTTGTTGACAAGTTTCACATTGGTAATCACCAGCGTAAAATGTGTCAATCACAAACGAACCCATATAAATACGATGAAGTCAAACAAATAAATACGGTTGTATATGAACAAGCGAATTCCAACTTAAAAAAACACCAAAACATCTTTTCCTCGTTTTCTTACCGGAAAAGTAAAATTTTTTACTTATTATTGTTTCATTTAATTAATTGTAAGAAAAAAATCAATTTTTATTGCTATTGGAAAGAAAATGTTTAAAATATATTTCTTGTGTGTCTTGTATCTATTTTTGCCAACTTAATAAATGGAAATATTTGAACTCAATGCAACCGTTCCTTTTCTAAAAGACATGCTAATAAATGAAACTGGAAAGTCATCTTACTATTGCTTAGTGGTGATTCATTTAAATTTCGTAAATATCAGTCATGCATCTAGAAAATATTATCGAACACTTTAATCTTGAAAACCCTGAGTTTATACCTAATTGCACTTTGACTTTCACTATCATTTCAATATACTTTTATATTTATGTTTCAATATTTTTAAAATTGAATTGAGTGGCGACGTTGGCTGTTACCATTTTTTTTAAATTTCTCAGCAAAATGTCAATATTTCTTGTTTTCCGGAGCTAAAACACATTATTCGTTCGATAACATTATCGATAAATATATTTTTACGAGCGTCATTCTATCTGGCAAAAAAACAAAAACTATGACCCAAGCATCATTTATGGCGTAATCTTCGCTCTTTTGAACAACTATGGATCTTAAAAATTACTTTGTCGTCTTATATTCCAATTCTAAAGCCCATTGACCAATCTCCTTTCTTACAAAACATATACTGAACATTGACCCGGAAACAAATTTTTTAATTAAAAACAGTATGCAACTGAAATAAGTTGACGTTTTCAATGAATATTTAATTTTAACCATAGCCTGATATGAAACAAAAAAACGTTTCCAACGTTTTCTTTGTATTCCGTATAACCTAATTCTGATTAAATGTGAATCGGCAACCCTGAATAATGGACCCATGAAGCACGATACATAGGAGGTGCATAGATTTGGAATAAACTCGTTACCCCAAAGGCCATTACACCAAAACAACTCAAATTCCTCAACTTTTAACATATAGTTATATCGTTGGGGTAATG